AACAAAGTTAACAGGTGAATAGGTGTGAGAGTGCAGTGTGTGAAGAAAAAAATTTACAAAACGCCATGTCATTAACAAGGTATTTCAGAGATTTGTTACTTTGTAAACTGCAATTATAATGTCCTGTTGCACTGTGCTTTCAAAAGACACCACGAGAGGGGGCTATGTCCACACAGTGATGAAGCACAGGATTCACATAGGCTGACAAAGTAACCATCAGGAATGCTGAGTAGTGCCGATGACGCTGCGCGTCTCCCCCCAGATAATCAAACACAACACAACAACTCCAACACTCTACATCATATAACCTTCACTAAAAATAAAATCTGAGCATCATATGATTTGGCCCAGTGGCTTTTCACTTTTAAAATACTGCCTTCATCACAGGTTATACCCGATGATAGGCAACAGATGATAGGAATTCAACCAAAGCAGGACTTTTACAGTATTTCTTAGGTTGTTTTATTTGCAAGATTTTTATATACTTGAGAGTTAAAGCGAATGATTAAATAATTGCTGGTGTACCTAAAACTTACACATAACAAGAATAACCTTCATATAAACCTAGTGTAGTGCAGTGTAGTGTACCATAGACGAGTCCAGGAGCATCAATTCAATCCTATCAGTTTGTATCCTTTCAGTTTGAACCCTAATCATCTGATGGTGATACACTGCATGCTATGTGAATAAAAGGCACCTGCTGCGTACCATACAATAGATCCCTGGATGCTTCTTTCCAACAGCCTGTGCAAGTGGAGGGTGAACATGACAAAGGCAACAGAGCACTGGCCCTGCAAAGAGAAAAGTCACTTAAAATCCTCATAAATTCTTCTGTTAAATCAGACATTTGTAATAATAATGATAAAAATTACCCTCCAGATACCCATGATGATGCCAGGCTGTAGCAACTTAATTTCCACCAGTCTGTCCTGACCAATGACTTGCACACCTTTAGGTAAAGCCTGCATGTCTAACTTCACTATGAGGGACCTCCTGCCAGGACTGACAGAGCAAGCAAATAAAACAATAGGTTTAACTGAGAGAAAAGAGGAAGTCGAGGGATAGAGTGGAGACGGACGCTGGCTGTCTTACTTCTTTAGGCCAGGGCAGCTAAGAGCTATCCTCCTGACACCATGGAGCTGAAGTGTAGAAATCTGCTGGTAGTCAGGCAAGCAGCCTCCACCACTCCAGCACAGAGTCACAGAAGTCTCGAAGAACTGGGAGCAGCTCAGCTCCAATGTGTCCTCATGCCCTGACTTATCAGAGACCGTCAGCTCCCAGGTGATGTCTAAGTTTCTAGAATAAAATATGATGGATAGTTGGGGTTTTGCATATAGTATTATTAATATAGTGTACAAAGCTGCTGGTTCACATACAAACAAAGCTGAAATTAACAGGATATGTACTTTATTAAGGGGGAAATGAAGATACCAGTAAACCGCAATTGCTAAGCAATTATCAAATCTTCAGTACAGTTATTTAAAGATAATACAGTGCAAATAATTGGGCAGTGCTGGGTAAAACTGACTCTTGC